TCTTTAATGAGATGTGAGAGCTACACCAATCTCTGAATACAGGGTAAGTATATAAAATGTAGCTAGAAATTACACTGGTTTGACAAAGTGACCACGACTTCAGCAGCCATTTGTAATTGGCTAAGTTAACAGTAAGAGGCAGGAATTCCCTCCTATTGAATGGTCCAGTCACTCTTGTGACTCAAGAGTGTCACAGCTGGGCAGGACTATTTACTGCCCTCTCCCTGGCAGCCTGCAGAGCGCCTCCTAGCCATGAAAGCTAGCCCTCAGGCTCAGTTCCAGCTCCTTTCCTTCAAGTCCTACACCCACAGGTACTTACCTTCAAGTTCTGGGAGGCCACCAAGGGCAAGAGCAGCTACATTTTGGGGAAAACTCTTGGACTTCCCCAACCAGCCACTCCAAAGGAAGTTTTTCATGACTGTTACTAGGATTTTCACTAGATGGTCTATAGCTCTTGCAGTGTGGCATTATCACCATAGTGTAATTTCATTTAAGCTACACACACAAAGTAACTTTGAATAACATAAAATAACACGGCTTCTATAGTTTTTAAAAATATGCTTAGTGTTATTTATCTTTCTTCCATTCCTCTTCCTTCGTCTACATCTGTGTTTTTAAAGGCTGCTGTGAAGCACATCCGGCTTGCAAGCCCCTTGGGGGGAGAAAGTGCTACTCAGGGAAGAGGGGCTGAGAAGACTAAAGCAAGGGTCTGCATGTGTAGCTCTGAACCTGCTCCCCGGAAACATTACAAATGCAGCATTTAGTCCCCCAATTGCCCCAGCATTCGTCAAGTGATGAAAATGGAACATGATGACTCTGAACAGAATGACTTTAAGTCATCTTCTAAAATCTAATTTTCCTCTACTGAGGCACACGGCCATTTTCCTAAGAAAAGTCTATATTTATAATCAATAATTTAAAAATGATGAGTTCCCCAAGCCACTGGGTTATATGAATTAATGCACAATTTTCATGACATATCTAATAAAAGGGTTCAAAAGTTTAAGAAAAAACATGGCATAAATATGGATTTTATTATTAGTACAGAAGGAGGAAGGCTTGTCAGGCAGGGTACCTGGACATGGGGCTCTTAAGGGACCTCAACTAGTTATCTGCCACAAGCTGGTGCAGCTATCAGGAGACCATCAAGCGCTGTTCATACGCACGCATGCGTGCGCTCTTGCTCGTGCGTGCACACACACATACACAATCAGAGAGTGAAAGACAACGAGGTCTAGGTTCATGCAGCTCACTGAAGTGAACTTTTCACTTCTTAAGGTAGGCAACTTTGTAGTGTCTTAATATTTAATTTATTTTTCTGTCCTTGAGGTTCAGACTTATCAAAAGGAATACTCAGGTTTTACTCAGGTAATACAGAGATTTTTTTTAAAAAATTCCTTGTAATTTTTAGTTACCATATTTTCTTGACTAATTAATTCATATTTGAGGTAAACGGTAGGTACATTTAAATCCAGTGGCTCTGCTTCCTTTTAAATAGCGTGACTAAAGTAGCTAAGGAGCAAGATAAGAAGCAAGAGTGAGAGAGGGAGGTATTCATTCTTACCAATCAGACACAAACCCTGAGACCCTTCCCACCGGTTGTCCACAGAGGCACACACGGAGAACTCTTCTGATTATGAATCAGTGGGGCGGTAAACAAAATACCAAAACTTGTATTTAGAGTAAGCTGATTATTAGGAGTTCAAAACAAAACAACAACAACAACAAAACCCCTCTAAATATGCCCTTAACCTACTACGCTGTTATCTAAAACGAAAGTACTATGATTCCAAAAACCCACTTCTGTCAAGGAAAAGCAAGAGGGAAGGATGGAGCCTTCTATATGCCAGGAACCCAAACCCTAGTCACCCTTTCCTCTGCGTTTTCACTATTGCTTATAATTAATTCCCTGTAAAACAGGTATTTTTTTTTCCATTTGCAGACATGGATATCTTGAAAGGGAAAAACAACCTTCCAATCAAGATACTCAGCTGTAATTACAGTGAACCATGTAAGCACCTTCACAATCACCATTCCCATCTGCCGTCTCCTTTGTAGAGAGACATTGATTTAATCCCTTCAGTAGCCAAGCACACACAGTACAGCACTTAGCTGCTGCGCGATTCACAGTCCCTGATCCAACCAGCCAGACTGAACAGAAACCAAAGAAAAACTGCATCTCTACTGAACATTAGACCGGGCCGCTACCCCTAGACGGTCCAGAACAGCGACTTTATATCGCATTCATACTGCCTTAGCTCTTATAGTAACCTAGAGAGGATGTGAAACACAGAGAGATGTGGGAGGTGGATTCTGGTGTCCGCCAGGAGTGAGTCCTGGAATCCAAGTCATGGGGACATCAACGAACAACTGTACAGCTTCTTTACATAACTGTAGCCATGTGACTGATCCGCAGTGAACCAGTGATTACTATGAAAATAACAAACAAGATGCCGCCACCCCTGCTCCTTGCAACTGACTCTTGAGCCTATGTATGAAACTGAGCAGCTCAGTAGGTCAACCCAATCACTGTGGGGTTTCTGCTATCCACAAGCGTAAGGCCGGTAAAGCAGCAACTATGAAAGCTGAGGCTGGAGAGGTGGCTCAGCAGTACAGAGCATTGGTTTTTTTGAAAGAACTCCAGTTGGACTCCCAGCAACCACATGGTGGTTCACAACTGTTCATAACTGCCGTTCTGGGGATCAACATCCTCTACTGGAACAGACAAACATGCAGGCAAAACACGCCTATACACACACACACACACAAGCACGTGTACGCATGCATGCATGCATGCACGCACACACATGAACCTTTATAAAAATTTACTAGATAAAAGAGATGGCAGGCCCTGTACTACTCAGGAACCTGCCTGTGGCTGTCACTGCAGAAAGCTCATTCTTAAGCAGCTCACAGCTTGGTTCCACCCACCCTGCCAATCACTCAGAAGTCAGCGAGCTTCTGGGAGGAACAGGGAACAATGACCTGCTTTCAGTGACCTCTGAACTGTCCATCTCAGCAACCTTATGAACTCAGGTCAGTGCCACAGAGCCGTCCGCTCTACTGCTCTGGCCAGTTAACCCAACGCAATCCCTTAGGTGTTCCTGCCAGGGTGTTTGCAGAGGTAAAAGAAAGCACAGGATATTGTTCTTGACAAAGCAAGGGCCTTGCTCAACAATTCAAAAGTCAAAGGTTGACCACGAGGCTTCCCTAGAGAAGAGAATCCACTTGGGGACAGCAGCATCAGCCTGTCGGACTGTCCTGACTGCTGGCCCCACAGTGTTCACACGTGCCCGAATGGTTCCCACGACCACAAAAGCCAACCCCCTGCAGCAGTCCCCTTCCTATTCATTCTCTCACCTACCTCACAAACACAACTGCTGCGGGAGTGCCTTCCGCTCCTTCAGCCAATAGCCGCTGAGATACCACCAGCCCACTGGGCGTGGTCTATTTCTCTTTAAAAAAGAGCGGCAGCCCTCTGCTCATACTCTTGCTTCTGGCTCTTGCTCCAGTGACTAGACTCCTTTCCTGGCTGTCGGTGTTCTTTAAGTTTTTTCCCTAAAATAAATACCCCTTTGAATCCAAACTGGTGTGCGATCATTTCACGCATTACACAACTCTGCTATCTGGTATTAACACGGGCCTAGCGATTGCGGCTCGGTGTACAAACAATAGACGAGCTTCCTTATCTATAAGAAGTTGAGCAATTTGTGCTTTTTGTTAGCCTGTATCCTTAACAGCACAAGCCTACCTAATAATGTAAAGACAAGACGAAGTTATAAACAGAAGATGCAAAACACCTGTCTCTTGAGAAGGAGCCCTCTTCCTGGGACTTTTAAGAAACCAGGGGAAGCCCAAATCCTTCTACCACCTCAGAAACACAGGGTGTGGGCAAGGACAGGCACAGAGTTTCATTTGGGTGCAATCTCCAGAGGTTACTCAGTTCTACAGAGACTCAGTGAAGAACTGTGGGTAGCGGCTTGCTCCTTACAGAGAATGGGAACACCGATGTGCTGGCTGTAGTTGAGGCTAAAATAGGTGTCTCTGCCTTTTAAAATAAAATAAATAGCTTTACTATGTATGCATTTATTACTGATGTAATAAATTACTGACCCTCCTGCTGCACGGCTGACCTTTGCTCAGCAGGTTAAATGATGTAATACCCAATCAGAAGGAATTATCTTTGTATCGGAATGTTGAACACTATCAGCGAGACACATAAATTATTGAGAACTGTATTTAGAATGGTTAATTTTGGAATCCCGTATGAAGCCTCTCTGAAATAATCCGTATTTTACACTAATTTCTAAGGCACCTGGATCTAGTAGTCAGCTTACGTGAGAACTTTTCAGGGCTGGTCAAACTTCAACATCGTAAATTATGGAGCCGATGGCTTAAATGCCTGATCTTAGTACAGCAGATCACCTTTCAAATCAAATCAGCATCAGTCCACGCTGGTCACAAACGCACACAGATGCATCTGTCTCTGCCTCCCGGGTGCTGGGCTTAAAGGCCGGTGCCATCTGCCCGGTGACTGTCCTCAATTTTTAATAGGTGTTACTATGGTGACATATGAGGCTTCAGAAAGCCAAAGTGGGCTGTCACTGTGTACACAGCTCGGGAGGGGCCACCGTGTGATGACCTGTTAATATGGTAAATAAATACCCACCTTTGTATTAGCCACATGCCTGGGACAGTTTGCATCCTAAGAACTCTATGACTATAAACTGCTACAGGTCAAGGCGCCAGTGTCTCCTCACCACACAGGACTTCATCACCAGCAGGTGCAGAAGACACGCTTAACCCCCATCTACATGGGAAATTCAGACAGCCAGCTCCCCCTCATTTGCCCTTATCACACGCAAAAGCACAAACATTTGCATGACCTGAGATGACGTGGTGGAAAGGAAGACGGCTGGCTCAGAGTCATCTGCGAGACTGACATACCACCCTTCTAATGGGGCATCCTAGGGGAAGTACATCTATCTTCAATAACTTACCAGTGATACCGTTGGGTTCCTGCTGGAGGTCACAGTACCACAGTCGGTTTACCGGATCACATCCCTCCCAGATGGATAACAAGACGTAGCGACCATCATCCGAGAGCTACAGAGAGACAACAGTGTGGGGGCTGAGTAACGTGGACTTGTTTAGCGGCCTGTGCAGTGGGTGTTAACTGTTCCCATCACTACGACCAAACAGCTGACAAGAAGCTCCTCGGGGTAGAAAGAACTAATCCGAGTTTACAGCTTAAGGGGTTACAGTCTGCCATGATGGGGACGGCATGCAGCAGAAGCTTGTTCACATCCAACAGGTGAAGCCAGAATGGACTACAAACCTCGAGGCCCACCCCACAATGACACACTTCCTCCAGCAAGGCCACACCCCTTCTATGACCTACAACCTCTCAAAACAGCCCCAGCAGCTGGGAACCAAACATTCAAGAGGCCGTGGAGGACACTTCACATGCAATTCTAACAAATGCTTAGGAAAAAAGTGAACGCGTCTTCACTCCAAACTCAGGATCTGAGAATGAAGTTGCTTTAAAAAAGAAAGAAGATGGGTTTTTAAGTAGAAAGTCCCATTAGGAGAACAGAATGTGACGATGTTTATCTGAATTTCTTGTCTATTACCTAAGAACACATAATTCGCTATTTTGAACACTGACACGCCTGTTCTCGGGTTACCCATTTTAAGGGTTATGGCTCTAAATGAGTGAGGACTGGCAGAGTGGATGCTCTCATGGCAGTCCAAGGGCTACATCTGCACAGCTCTCCTGACTGGCTCTTCATGGATTTCCTCAGTCAATTCTACCACAAGATCAGAGGTAAAGAGCCTTGGCTTCTGGAAATTTCAAGTATGAAAAAGCATACCTATGGGGAGTGGAAAGAATCATGGCGAAAACCTATGATATAAACCTAAAAAGAAAAGTCAACTAATAATAGATTATTGATCTGAGTTGTCAGGCCTGATGCGAACAACATCAAGCTAAGTTTATCCTTCTGTAACTCATTTTTCACATAACATCTTTTTGACAACCAGCTTGCGCTGGCCCATATAAATCTGTTTATATAGACCTTGAAGCTCTGCATTCAGTCCAGGGATGCCACCCAACTGAACCTTCTCCCTATTACTAAATATTTGCTTCCATTTCCTTCATACTATAAACAATTTTTTAGGGAAAAATATCTTAAGCATATCTGTGACCAGATATGTGTTAAAGTGCTTCCCAGGTTCTAAAACAGAAGCAATCTGTTGCTGGGTGTGCACATCCTGAACTCGATGAGATGGTTGTACCAATTTATGTTGTTACCCGGCTGCCCTGTCTGCAATCCCGGTACCTCTACAATCTTGTTATGGTTAACTCTATGTCAACTTGGCTGAGCTGTGGTGCCCAGATATTTGGTTGAACAGTGATCCAGATGCTTCTGTGACGGCAGCTCTTAAGTGGAGTTGTGTTTAAAGGAGTAGACACGGAGCAAAGCATACTTCCCTCCACAATGTGCTGCCCCTTGTTCAACCAGCCAGGGTGGTAACGGAACAAGAAGCAGACTGCTCAGGGCTCAAGGACCACTCTTCCCAGAATTCCAAATCTGCTAGCTCGCTCGGCAATTTCAAGAACTGGCAGGCCTCCACAGTAAACAAGGCTATTTGTTAAAATACTTTGTCTTTATAAAAACACACATATGCACATACTGCGGGTCCTTGCTCCCCAGAGAACCCTGCTATACTTTCCAACTATTATTCTTTTCTTTGGTCATTCCACAGACATAGTCTAAAGGTCTGTATACAAGCTCATGTCTAAGTTTTGTTTCTATATGTTAAGGATGCATCAGTGAACAACTCAGGAAATGTCACAACTAACAAAGGAGACAAACACATAAATATGGGATTGTGCCACCCATTACTCACGGACAAATGGCATGAGCAACAGGGAGAAATCATAGCAAAGGAGGCAGGACACGGGACAAAGGGCTGTAGTCTTAAAGAGCACCAGGGCAGGCCCCACAGGGAGGTGTCTTGGCATGGGCAGTCACGGCAGTCACTGCTTTAGTTTAGAACTGTCATTTTGTGTCACTTTTTTGTTTTGTTTTTCCCAACAGGGTTTCTCTGTGTAACCCTCCTAGCTGTCCTGGAACTAGCTCTTGTAGACCAGGCTGGCCTCAAACTCACAGAGATCCACCTCCCTAGTGCTGGGATTAAAGGTGAGCACCATCACTGCCTGGCTGTTGCTTTTTATTAATCTACATGTAATGAGTGTTTTATTATCTGGAGGCTTTTACTACTTTCTTGTTACTTCCATGCATTTGCAAGTCAATTACAACAGTCTTGGCTGTAACAGTGTACTTGGATTCACTGCACTTCTTGGATCTGCGGGTTTGTATATTTTATCAAATGTAACAGGTTCTTTTATTTTTCTTTTTTCACCTCCTTTACATTTTAAGAACACCCTTGTCTCTATCCTGGCATTTCAAATAGACATTGTGTTTCACTTGGTCCTGTCTAACATTTTCTAAGAGCCTCTGTAAACTAATGCGATAATTTTAAAAAAAAAATATTTGCTAAGTCATTTGCCATTTCTGAATCTGTTCCTATGATTAAGGCTTTTTCTGGCTGGAGGTCACATTATTCTGCTTCATTAAACGTGTATTGACTTCTGAATTAGATTCGGGGCATGTGGAACACTAGAGTTTTTTCTTCTTTCTAATCTGACTATAAAATGTTTTCAGTCAATTAATTTCCAGGCAAACCAGCTGGCTCCATCCAGGCTTGCTCTCCAACCTCGCTGGCTAGGGTCGCAGTCTGACTGGGAAAGTGCGGGTGCTCAGGCTTTGTTAACTGTGTCAGAACATGGTCACCAGCCTGTCAAGCCTTTAGCAGGTACCAGTTTACAGTTCCTGGGTGTTGTGCTGAGCCTGAATCAGGGAGAACCATTCAGTGCACACAGCTCCTGATAAACAGCTGAATCCACAGGGAACCCTCAAGTGCCCCCGTGACCCTTCACGGGACGTCCCCACCTTCAGCACCTGACTCCACAGACTCTAGTAGCTACAGTCTCTTTGGCTCTTTTCTTCATCCCTGTGCTGCGGTCCCTAAAACACCGTGGGGCAGAAGGCTGGGGTGACAGTAAGAATGACCCACACACATCAGGCCCAACTTTCTGCCAACCAAGTCCTGCGAACTGCTGTTTGATCTCTCCCGCTGTGCTCCCCAGCCATGCAGGGCAGGAGCCGAGGCCAGAATCATACACACCGGCGAGGCCAGTGATGAACACCCCAATGTCCAGTGCGCCTACTGAAAATGAGTAAGACATAATTTGGTTTTCAATAGCCAATCTGAGACTCTGAAGTTTTGCAAACCATAGTTATCAATTCTTTCAAGTGTTCTATTCATCCTGCTTCTTCTTTTTTCTTTGTTCCTATTTTGGGGATTGGCCCTGGGGGCGTCATCCACACTAAGCATAGGTGCCACTAGTTAGCTACAACCCCAGCCCTCTAGTAAAAATATATATCTTTTGATACAGTACCTCATGAAGCTCAGGCTGGCCTTGAACTCACTATGCATCCACGGGTGACCTTCAATTCCTTCCTGATCCTCCTATCTCCTCTTAAGAAGTGCTACAACCACACACTTGTACACTATGACAACGCCTGTCCCCAGTCACCGAGTGCTAGGACCACACACACGTACACTGTGACAATGAGTGCCTCCTCTTACCGAGTGCTGGGACCACACGCATGTACACTATGACAACTCACAATCAACTTCTTTGTGTTCTTTGTGAACTTCTCTTTTTCGTTTTTTTTTTTTTGTTTTGTTTTGTTTTGTTTTGTTTTTTTTGTTTTTCGAGATAGGGTTTCTCTGTGGCTTTGGAGCCTGTCCTGGAGCTAGCTCTTGTAGACCAGGCTGGTCTCAACTCACAGAGATCCGCCTGCCTCTGCCTCCCGAGTGCTGGGATTAAAGGCACGCGCCACCACCGCCCGGCTGAACTTCTCTTTTTCATTCAGAATGATTTGAAAGTCACACATTTTACTTCCCCTCGGCTTTTAAATAAGAAAGCTAACGTTCAGATTTTTAGTCCCACAGTTTTAGACTGTCCTATTTTAAGAGCATCAGAAATCCACAATTATAATTCTATTAACTATCACCCAAAGCAGCCTCCTTAACACTTGCTCACGTCTTTGTTCTCCTGTCCTTTGAACGCGGACAGAACCTGTACAGCCTGCTCCTTAAGTCATGGCACCTCAATCACAAACCGTGTCCACTTCGGTTGGAGGGCCTCAGTTAACCGAGACAACAGCGACATTCCTGCAAGAGGCCAGACCCAGGCAGCAGCTGCTGCGAGCCCATCCCAAGCATCCCAAGGACTCCCCTCAGCACTGACAGACTACTAGTCACAGCGCTTCCTATTTAGTCTGAGGCAGGAGTCCCCGGGCACCTTCCTCCTGAATCATCACAATTCTGAGATCTTCAGAGCCACAAAAATTTGCTTAACTGGAAACACCTTTGCGTTTTCAACGTTCAAGGCGGCAACCTTAAAATCACCTATTTTCTGTTTTCCTCCACTAAATTAGATTAGATACAATACCTTTCTCCACTAAAAATTAACCAGTAACAACAGATGCTTAGCCTCAGACTATTTTAAGACAATTTTAAAGATGATTTATTTTTAGACATCACTGGGAAGACAAACACTCTAACATGAAGGTCTTTCTGACTCTAATGCATAATCTAACTTTCTTAAAAAGCCAGAGAAAAGGAAAACAAGGCGCAAGAGAACCAGCCCATGGCTCCCTGAGACGACCAAGGGCCCCTGCTACAAAGCATCCCTGTTTTCAGCAGTAAGATAGTGGCTATAGTAACCCTGCTTTCTGCAAGCAGCCCGACTAAAAACGCTGAGCAAAAGACAGATGGTAACATTAATCTCACCAATTATGAGATATGGAATTCCCAACTTTTTGGTTTTCACACCTTTTATTTTACAACATTTTTAGCAAAATTCCCTTTAAGTCATCGTCATTTTTTTCTTGATAAAACATTAACACACGCAAACCCCCAAGAATATCACTATAAATGAGACAGAGTTGACTGCTGATATTAGATCT